CGCCATTTTATTCTCTAGGGTCTCTGCTAAAATATATATAATGTATTGGGGTTCTGAGTAATTTTTCTAGCAAAAAATCATGATTTTTACATGTAGGAGAGAAGTGCCAGAATTGGCCTGGACAGGAAGTAGAATAACTAATTAACTTGCAAAGCAAGTCCAATCTTATATTTCATAATAATCAGTTCTCATAAACAACTCTTAACATTTCTTCAATGTTTTGATGATAAATGAGAGCTGCAGTTGCCAAATGCTTCAGCATTTTGTTGTCCATGGAAGGGTGTCCCAGATATAATTACACCCAACCAAAGGGTCTGAGGTGTGTTTCGACAGGTGTCCCTGAGTATTTTATTATGCTCAGCAGACATACCCTTCATGACAATTTTTTCTACATACATCTAGTATATTACTTTCTGACAAGTTTTACAATCAGACAACCAACATACAATTTATCAGAATTAAATTTAATTTTGGTGGAAGATGAAATATGATATCCACATTTCTCTTAGGAGATCTAATGTGTTTCATTAGCCTCGTGGACTACTCTTGTTGAGTGTCTACCTGATTGGCATCTTCGTTTACATTTGCGTGACTTTTTTATGAAAGTACCTCCATCACAGCAGGGATTATGGAATATGCACAGAGTTTGCTTTGGAATTTTAAAAAATGGACTCAGAATATGTATTTGCTAAAGCTCCAACTACTACAACTTGGCTGTTTATAATAGGGCTACATTACTAGCCTTTTGATGTAATGGAGGTTTACGATATTAATGCTTTGCTTCTAGTTTGGACTGCTTTTTTGGGGTTTTATGGTTCCTGTGCTTTTTGTTAAATGTGTCTTAAGCTGGCTGTGTTCTGTTAAATGTGCCACTATGTTTACTATGAAACCTCCATTCTTCACACACAATTTAGTTTAAATTGTCCCTCAATATCTTCATACCTCTCGTCTTTAATAGGTCACCTGGCTTACAGGTTCCTTTCCAATACAACTGACCATCTGCTGGCTTTGCTTGCTGGATAACGTGTCTTCATTGCCATGGTTGCTTCCTTTTTTATGCTGTATAGTGAAACCGTATTGCTCGAAATTCAAGCTCCAATGCATTAGCTTTCTGTTATCCCCAGCAAAACTGCTTTTAGCTTTCTGTAGTCCATGCAGAACATGGTTGTCTGATACTTTTTGGGGACCAGAACTATTGGGGATGCCAAAGCACTCTGGAACTTCTGAATGATCCCTAACTGCAGTATTTCCTCAATCTCCTCTTTCAAGTCTGCCTACACATCCAACAAGGTTCAGTAAGCAGACTGTTTGGTAGAAGGTGTAGCAAAAATAACACAGTTCAGGAACATAGTGAGAAACAGAAATCAGGGTTTGGATGCCAGAGTGGGTAATCAGATGAGCCAGGGTCAGAAAGCCAGAAGTCAGCGTAGTCAGAAGCAAAAATCAAGAACAGGGATCGGAAGAGAAGTCAGCCAGACCACGTTGTACACAGGAAAACAGGCAGGAATACACTAGAGATCATAGACCATGCAAGGGCAAGTAGGAAATGAGCTAATCTGCTAAAATAGCAAAAAGGACTAGCTGTAGGTTGGACTAATGAGGCAAGTAAAGGTATCCAGGTGAGTCACTGTGGAGGCAACGAGTGGCTGGTATTTAACCGACAGCTAAGGATCTTCTGAGCACTAAAAGAAAAGAGTTGCCTCTTAAGTAGCAGGAGCCCAGCCATGACACCTGTCTTGTCAACCTGCTGGCTAAGTAAAGGCAAAGGAAAAAAGTCAAGATGGATGGATGTTCTACACTCAGTCCCCCAGCCAGTCAGATTTAAAGAAAAACAGCATACCACAGCTGTTGCTTTGCCCTTGAATTTTGTCCAAATGGAGGTTGTCATGGGGGCCATGGAGATGAACATATCCTGCCCTTGTAATAACAAAGGACCAAAAGCAGTTGCACTGTCAGTAAGCATGGTAAGCCAGAAAAAATTGTGCTTATTGAATCTCAAGTGATCCGCTGGGGGAATTTTTTGTGTGCCACCTTCAACAATCTTCAACACCGTCAACAAGTGTCCCAGAAAAATTTCAGGCACAGTAAGATGCTTATCAACCACTTCTACCTCACTGATTTTAGTAGGCTGATGTAAAGCTTTTTATTGGCCGTGTAAACCTTGTGGTTATCTCCCTCTACAGGAGGTATTGAAGCTAGGCTTCTAAGCTGCTCCAGAGTCAGTCTGCAGGGCTTGTTCAAGGTTGGTGCTACAGGCTTAAACTTGTAGGTTGGTGCTACAAGTCAAAGCCAACTGTTCAGTTGCAAATGAGAACAGCAGCTGACACTCAGCAGAGGCAGAGTCCAAGAGAAGAGGTTTTGGGTGCCACCCATGCTCTGCAACCAAAGACTGTACCTTGGTAGCACTTGAAGCACTACAAGTCACCTCTAACAACAAAAATACATTATCATCAGACTCAACAATTACATTTTCTTCATCAGACATGCACTGGGTCTCTGTGTATGCATGGTGGTTACTCCAACCTTGTCTCCTTCTCAAGGGAACTGTGCATCCCCAGCCAACTTTTCTTCCTCTGGCCATATCCTTACACAGAACATTACTATTGTCCAGAGGGTCTGGTTGGTAACCTTGGGTGTCTTTAGAAGGTTCACAAAGTGGGACCAGAGTCCCCAGCATTGCACCTAGCTATACCAGTGTGAGAATCTTGTCACAGACTCTGACCTCATTCATCCCACTCCCCACCCTCCAGTAAAAGAAAACCTATGCTTAGGGTACATGTGAGCAGTTTCCCCTTAACTGTTGTAAGGATCTTCCATTGAACTATCTCCAAGAGTTATTCGCCCCCAGATAATGTAGTTTATACCCAGGAATAGTTACTTAATGCATGCACTACTGCTCTAATTAGAACAATCCTAAAAAACCTGTGAAACAGATGTAACACTAATGCTCTAAATGTAATTATCACACCATACTGTCAAATGGAATGTGATGATTACATAGCTGGAGACTACATTATAACATATTTGACACTTCTAGTTAGAGCATTCAGAGATTCAGCTTAATGACTTTTAATTATTTTTATAATAAAATAAACGAAATATGGTCTGAAAAAAAACGCAGAAAACAGACATATCAACAATAAACAGTAAAGTTTAAGAGAGTAAAAATGAAAAATAGTTTGCCCGATCTTTCCTGTTTCTGTGCAGTGTCCAATTAGCTTGCGGAGTAATTGCAATCTGCTATATCAGATTCACTGGCTTTCATAAATTACTTTTAGCTTCCTTCATAGTTTTGATACTAAGCACGAGTTGCAGTTACCAAATGCAAAAGAAGTTTGTTGTTCATGGAGGGAGTGTCCCAGATCTAATTACACCCAATCAAAGAATCTGAGGGATATGTTGAAAGGTATGCTGGAATAATTGATTATGGTTATCAGACACATCCTTAATGCCATCTCTTCTACATGTATCTATATTTCCATCTGACAAGGTTTTATAATTCACCAACCAACATTATGTTTAAGAGAATGAAGTGATGATGCATTAGAGACCAAATTTGAAATGAATCTTATGCAGATTTAGCCCAGTGTTTTATTAGTCTCCTGGACCTTGTTATATAGGCATGTTAGGCGTTCACCTGATTGGTATATTCATAAAAAAAGATTCAGAATGTGTATTTCCGTGGACCATTCTCCAGATCAATGTTTTATGACTTGGCTATTTACAAAACGTTTTCAACAGGAATAAGGACAGTGCTAACAGATGTTTAGAACATCTCTGCTTTGCTTTTAGCTTGGACTGTTTTAGTGGGTTTTAAAGGTAGCTCTGTTTTTTGTTAAGTGTCATAAAGTGTATATATACCTTTGCAGTCACATTTTAGAGAACACACTATATGATTGTTATGTAGTCCCAATTACCTAGCTAACTTAAAACATTTAAAAAATATATTTATTACCTTTTAGAAGTAGAAGGTGTCATGGCTGATTCTGATTGTGAAAATGTCTGGAGAGTCTCACAGTAAATGTGCCCCACAAGACTCTAGCTATCACTATACAATGCAGAAGGGGGGATTCTAAATTTATAAACCTTTGGTAGGACAGGCAATGATCAAATCTAGTTTACAGCTGCTAAGCAGAACTACAAACACAGTACAGACAGGGGTAATTATGCTAAATACTACTCCACAACCCCCTCTTAAACATCGCAAATTAGGGACAGCATGCACAGGTTTTTAAGCAAGTTAAAAGGGAATTTTTAGATATTAGTTTTAGGTCATGCTATCTTAATGGAGAAATGTAACAAAAAGAAAGTAAATGATATTCCAGTTTGGCTACAAAAGTGGAAATACACTTTAAGCTGGCTGTGTTCTATTAAATGTGCTTTATCAAATGTGTCAACTTCTCTGGCTGCCCACAATAGCTTGTTTTTGTCATTAACTTGTGAATGTTGCAGAAATAAGGGTGATACTATGTTCAGCATGATCCTCACATTCTTCCCATATAGTTTGGGGATCATCAGACCTTATTACCATCACAATCACCAGGACAAATAGAGAAAAAAACTTGACAAAGGGCATAACCCTCGCCTAAACTATCATAACAAAAAATGTCTTCACAAACATCAAACTAGAATATATAAATTCCACAAAATATCTGTAGTTGTTTTTTTTTCTAATAGGACAATAAAAGAAAGCTTAGCTATACAGAACACCGTCTGCTGTTTTATTATATTCAATATTATTATTATACAGTATTTATAAAGCGCCAATAGTTTGCTCAGCACTGTACATTACAAAGGGGGACAGAACATGTGACAGAACAATACCAATACAATGCAAAACATGAGGGGATCGAGGGCCCTGCTCTTTCGAGCTTACAATCCATCTGCTGTAAGCTATCACTTTATAATATTTAATAAGCACTGAATTAATCCATCTGCTGTAAGCTATCACTTTATAATATTTAATAAGCACTGAATTACATTTCTAAATTGACTTTTTCCTAATTAGTTTTTTGAAAAGCCGCTTTTACTTCTTTGTTCCTCAGACTGTACAAGAGAGGATTTAACATCGGAATGACCACAATATTTAAAAGAGATACCGCTTTAGTGTTGTGATAAGAGTTATTAGCTGGTGGCAGAAAATACACGCAGACCAGAGTTAGATAAAGCACAGATACAACCGTGAGGTGGGATGAACATGTTGAGAAGGCTTTGAGTCTGCCTTTAGCAGACTGGATCTTTAGAATCACTGAAATAATGGAAATGTAGGAAGACAGTGTAAATAAGAAAGCTGGTAACGCCAAAAAAGCTGCTTCCATAAGTATAACAATTCCTAACTTAGTGATATCACCACAGGAAAGCGTAAGTAAAGGGACAGAGTCACAGAAAAGGTGATTGATAGTATGTGATTTGCAGAAAGGAAATAAGGCCATCTGATTAATGATCGGAGCAGGGTCAACAAAACTAACAAGCCAAGCAGCAGCAGACAGAGCTGTACAGACCTTCTTATTCAATACAAGATTGTAGTGTAGAGGATTACAGATAGCCACATAGCGATCATATGACATGACAGTCAACAAGAGGTACTCCAAACTTTGGAAAGAGATGTAGAAGTACAGTTGTGTCATACACTCTGAAAAAGAGATGATTCTCAGGTTTAGAAATGTTAGTAGAAATCTCGGATGAATAAGACTTGTCAAGCAGATATCTAAAAATGATAAGTTACAGAGGAAGTAATACATAGGAGTATGAAGATGAGAATTCAAATAAACAAGGATTATTAGAAATGCATTCTCCAAAACACAAAGAGAGTAAGCAGCCAGGAATGCAAAGAATAGCAGAATCTGTAAGTTTGGGTATTCAGAAAAACCTAAAAGGAAAAAAACCTTCTGTTTCGTTAACAGACAGCATCCAGCCTCAACACAAAAAAGAAACATACAGTTAATGCATATGGTATAATACAGTATAAGAAAAGTACATGAAAAAGCATTTATTGGCTGAGGCTTGGGTTGATTTACCAAATGCATATGGGCTACTCACTTGCATAGTGAACATTAGTAAATAAGATGAAACTGTTCACTTTGAATACCACAGTGTGAATGAAATTTAAAAAAATTTACTTTGGCAAGCATGAGTGGCTGATTGAAGTTAATATGGCCTTGTTATTAATACTTACTCTTCAAGGTGAACATACTTTTTGCAAAGTGAACAGCTTCAACTTCTTTACTAAATCAACCCCATAACGTTGCTTGTACTGAAATGCTTAAAATCTGTCTTGAATGCCTACAAAATAGAATAAACAACAATAACACTAAAGATAGAAATTTACAAAGATTGTTGACAAAATGTTTTGTCCTACATAGTTAGAATTAAAATGGTTGTAAACTCTTACATATACCCAGTGAAGTGACTGGCCTTAGGTGATACCCAGAGATTAAACTAATTCTCCTACATCAGCTGTACCAATTTCTCTTCTCCAATCTGTCCAAAATGCTGAATTTATAAAGCTTGTCTAAGAGCTCAGAAAAAAGGGTCATAGAGCTGAAATTACACACTGAGGAGAGTTCTGATAGCTGTTTGGAGGGAAGGGACACACCCTCCTTCAACACAACTCACAGGAACAGAGCTGAGGCTGTCAGTCTGCTGGAGGTCCCTCCCCTGTCACCATTTTTCTCTTGGTGTCAGGAAAACTTGTTGGAAATGACTAATGCTAATAGCAGAAGACAGAAGCAGCAGACAGAAATGACACTTATGGCTCTTAGTTGAGACAAGTACATATTATAGTGGGATATGCTTTGTTCATATTTCATGTCTGAGGTTTACAACCACTTGAAGTCACACATCACTGCCTCTGTTTATTAGTTAAGTATAATAATCCAAACATTGAGGACTCTACTATATAGATAAATGCACATTTTATTTTGTGGTAACACACAAGTACAATGAAGAAGGCAGAAGTAGCCCTCTTTTTACTTGTCCTTAACTCTTTTTTGATCTTTCAACTATATTTGGCATATTGCAATAACTGAATCGGTTTTATAGAAGAATGCAAGAGATCAGTTTGGGTATTTATTTGCATTGTGAAGCTCATGGTAAAGCATTTATTTTCACCTATTTGATTCATCTACCCTTACTGTAACAAAAAAAAAATAGTGTGATGCTAATTTTAACTGCTAAAAGTAAGGAGTCTCAGCAATATTATTTCTTTGTGAAAACATTATGTCAGTACCCATATGGAAGAAAAATATATTTGAAATATATTTAAAAAATATTCTTCCCAAATACATTGAAATATATTTGAAATGCTACAATTTTGGCCATAATCAATATATTTAAAAAAAAAAAAAAATAAATAAATATATATATATATATATATATATATATATATATATATATATATACTGTATGTTGAAATGCATAAATATTTTTTTTTTTAAATATATTCTTCAGATTTTTTTTAACATATAAAAAAGTCATTTTAACATATATTTTTACATATATTTGTAAATGCATTCTAAAAATGTGGATTTGTATTTTTAAAGACATACAGTATATTTGAAATGCATTTTAAAAAATATTTTTCATATATTTTGTAATAAAAAAGCATTTCAACATACAGTATATTTATACAGTATATATTTAATGAAATATATTTTGAAATATATTGAATATGGCCAAAATTGTAGCATTTCAAATATATGTCAATATATTTAGGAAGACTATTTGTAAAATATATTTCAATTGTATTTTTCTTCCATGTGAGTATGATCACAAAGAAATCCTGGCTTCACCTCATCTCATCTACTCTACTGATCTATAAAATCACTTGTCTTATGAAACCATTGATAAAAATGAGACCAAACTCAAAATTTTCAAGAAAATCTGAGATTTGCATATAATCAGATTTTTATATCTTTGGATCTGCTGATTCCACTGAAAGCCATATCAGCTTATGCATTTTTCACCATATGTTTAAGCATTTAAATAAACCTGTCACAAACCTAGGCAATTCATACTGAAGATATGATGCCAATTCAAACCATAGGTGTTGGGGTGGTTGTGTCAGTGTTGCTTTGAGGTGAGCTAGAAAAAGTACAGCACATAATCAGTTTTGATGTGTACTTCATTATGTCTAATGAATGGCCTCCCACCTTTTAAGCAGGGCTGTAGAAATCCAAAGGCTAGCTTTAAGTTTTGTTTTCCACTGCATTAGTGTTATAGAACACAATTTAATTCAGGTGTGTATATTAATAAAAAAAAATTCATAGAACTATCATATATATCTGTCTATGCATAGCAGTATATAGAAAACATAAATACTATATTTTTCAGGAGACATGGTTACATCATCGTTATCCTGTCACAGGTTAGGGTGGACTAGGCTTTATTGGTTAAATGCAAGAAGGTCTTGAACATTTCTGTGATATGAAATAGCAGTGCCTGGATAACAATATTGGCAGCAGAAAATTAAACAATTAAAATCACCTATGTATGTTATTCAAAATCAAAGAATGTTAAAAAAAATTCAAAGAAGAATTTAGATATCATAACATTACTAATTTTTTTCGTATCCTAAGTAGATTAACTTAAAGCCCATAAAGACTTGTCCTGCAGGTTTATTGCTGCAAGGAACAAATAGATTCATTCAATATGCTTGATGAGATGGTAAAGTGAATACAACAAATTAAGATTTTACTGTAGCCTTTGTCTGAAAATGATCCATTTGATCCTATTGAAGCATCAGACTCTGTAAATTATCCTTGCCAAGTACGTTACTTTGGCTAGCTTGTTGAATAATGCAAAATTATTTATTTTTTAAAACTACACAATCTTGCTGAATTTAGTGAAAATTGTCTATATCGATCTTCGGCCAGCATAAAACTGTTGCCGAAACTTAAAAATCAAAAACATCTGTAAACAAAGTTTGACATTTTTTTACCCTGTCCATATCACAAACTACAACGCCTAGATGCTACTTTTGGTAGGTTTTCCCCCTAAAAATAAAATACTTTTTTTAGTCTATAAAATACAGTAAGGTGACATATTTAATCATTGGCTAAAACAACTTACGGTTAAATGTTGCCTGAATTAGATTTGCAGAAACAATCATTTTTTTTCTATCCAACATGTATCCAAACATGAGCTGGATTTCATAAGTACTCAGGGAGATCAGTATCCAATTCATATAAATACTTTAAATGCCCTGCAGGGTATTGCACTAATAATCTCAGTAATCTATTTTTTTCTGCAAATGTTTCCCCATGAGTACTAATAAAAACTCCTTCTTGGGTTTATTGTGTTACAGGTAACAGAAAATATGGTTGCTGTGATTGTTGCCTCAAAAGAAACAAATCAGTATTTTTAATAATTCAGAAATACAGCTCTTGAATTTTTAAATATGGTTATGACAATAATGGCATTAAAACATATGCACTCATCTGTATATTCAATATTATTTTGAGACACAGAGGCAGATTTACTACAGAGGTTGAGGATGTCTACAGAATAAATTGTGTGAATATTCACTTCAATTATCCAACCATGTGCAGATTAGGGATGAGGCTCGGTTTGAACATTACACGTTTGCCATTTTGATGAATGACAAACTTTAAAGGATGTTTGGTGGGAGTACTGAGCTAAATGTCCATAATGCAGTGCAATGAACTGTGGTCAGGTACTTTTGCCAGTAGTGCCCCTTCTCTATTTAGGTAGGAAAATTGGATGGGAGCTGGAGAGACATTCAATCTCACCTGTCCTTGTGTAGTGGTTTTATAGTTGCCACACCCCTATTTAATCAGAAAAAAGCAAAGATCCTAACAGAGGAAAAACTAATGGAGCTTTTCAAGGCACTAAAAGTATAGAAATGCACAACATGGAAACACTAGATAAAATGGAACATGTTTTATTATATTTTTATAAAAAAAAACACACAAGTGGTAAGAAAGACAACAGCCAAAATAGGCACATACATAATAAAGCAACAAAAACAAAATATATATCTAGAAATGGCAAGAGAGGGAAAAGGCTCTGGTCCGGGATACAAAAGCATCCTGGGCAACAGTCCAGAAGCCTCACCGATAACACTATAGAAATAGATTGTCATTAACCACTTCCTGTCCGGACACTTTTACCCCTTCCTGTCCAGGACAATTTTCAGCTCTCAGCGCTATCACACTTTGAATGACAATTGCGCGGTCATGCAATACTGTACCCATATGAATTTTTTACCATTTTTTTTGAGACAGATAAAGCTTTATTTTGGTGGTATTTATTCACCGCTGGGATTTTTATTTTTTTTACTATGTAAAATGAAAAAGTCCAAAATTTTTGAAAAAAAAGTGTTTTTTTTTTATAAAATTTTGCAAATAAATAATATTTCATCCTAAATCTTGGCCAAAATTTATTCCGTTATTTTTTTAATAAAAAAAAAAATCCAAATTAGTTTATAACCAAACATTATCATTTTTAAACATTTTTTTTGGGGTTTTACATTTTTTATTTTTATTTTTTTTTATATTATTTTTTATTTTTATTTTTTATTTTTACATACTGTCACCCTAGCAGTACAGTGTCACCATGGTGACACTGTACTACTTGTGGGGGGTGATGAAGATTTTTTTTTTTTTTTTTTTACACTGATTGCTTTTACACCCATATAGGATGTAAAAGCAATCATTTCTCTTTCTCTCTGTCTGCATTCTTGCAGTCATTGAGAAATACTGAGTGAGCTGTGATTGGTCACAGGTTGTCACATGGTACAAGGCTGTTGTGAATAGCCTTGTACCATGTGACCTCTGTGATCATTCACAGATTTCACACGTAGTAAAGCAATGATGTCACAAGTGACATCTTGCTTACTACTTTGCATGTGATCACTGATTCGCCAATCAGTGATCACATGACCGGGACCTCGTACAGAGGTCCCGTCCGACGATCG